CCGCCCAAGTTTCTAAAATTTTTATTGTTACTGCTTTTTCCCTTTTTATTTTTGAAACAGCTCATGTATCCCAGGCTGACCTTGGATTTCTGATCTTCCTGCTTTGAATTATCAAATGCTGGGATTGTGGCTATGTACCATTTCCTCTGGAATACTTGGTACTGGGCCTGGAACCTAGGCTTTGTGCGTGCTCTCCCATCTCACTCCCATTTCACTCCCTGCCCCTCCAGTTGTTCTTAGAAGAGGGTAGAAAACAGAACGCAGGACGGAGTCTGGAAGCTTGGAATCTGTGCTTCTGCCACACACTCCACTGGGGCTGGAGAGAGGGCTTCGTGGGAAGAGGACTTGCTGCTCTTGCAAAGGACCTGGGTTTGGATCCTAGCACCCACATTGGGTGCCTCGCAACCACCTGTGACTCCAGCTCCTGGAAATCTGATGCCCTCTTCTGGCCTCCATGGGCACCTGCACTCACATGCACACACACCCATTACACACACAATTAAAAATAAATTTTTTTCCAAAGAAAGAAATGACTACTTCTCTGGGCCTCAATTAGTTGAGAACAATGTTAAACAGAGTCCACTATTTTGGACTGAGTTCCTGCACCAGGCTGCAACAGACCAAACAAAATGGAATCACTATGCTATTACATTATTAATTGAAACTTTTTTTTTTTTTTTTTTTTTTTGGTTTTTCGAGACAGGGTTTCTCTGTGTAGCTTTGTGCCTTTCCTGGAACTCACTTGGTAGTCCAGGCTGGCCTCGAACTCACAGAGATTCGCCTGCCTCTGCCTCCCGAGTGCTGGGATTAAAGGCGTGCGCCACCACCGCCCGGCTATTAATTGAAACTTTAAAAGAGCACACAGATCCTAAACCAAACCAAGTTTTCCTAAAAACAGGAGTCTTTGGTCCTCTCTGCTTCAAGACGTGAAAATGTGCCCTGAACCACCCTAACATTAACCAATCAGGTTTTTTTCTGATGTTTTGTTTCCTTGTTCTGACCTCATAGAAACCATCCTGCCGTTGCTCAGCAGGAGCACTCATTCTAATCCGTGAATCATGCCTAATTCATGAATCAAAGCCAGTGAGACTCTTGGTCAAATTTCTTGCAGTTTTCCCCAATGAAATCAGATAGACTATCCCATGCCATCAAACACTCCTTAAATGACAGGTATCGACAGGAAACCATCAGCCTTCCACTGTGCTTCACTGCCCCGCACACTTTGCTCCTCACTTCTTTCTCCCTCTGTTTGCCCTCCCTGCCCCAGAGACCACATGCTCCCCAATACTCAGCAATACTTCTTCCTCTCCACTAACTTCCATTTCTATCAGCCTCCCCGTCCCCTTTTTAAAAAAAATAGTCTCATTTGTAACCCAAGTTGTCCTTTTCAAAATACATGTTTAAGCCAGGTGGTGACGCACACCTTTAATCCCAGCACTCAGGAGGCAGAGGCAGGTGGATCTCTGTGAGTTTGAGGCCAGTTTGGTCTACAGAGTGAGTTCCAGGATAGCCAGGACTGCACAGTAAAACCCTGTTGTGAACAAATAAACTATGTTTATTATTTAGGCTTGTGCATGTGTTCATGTATGATGGTGTATATGCCATGGAGCACATGGGCAAGATCAACCTAGGGCATTGGTCCTTAGCTTCCACCTTGTGGCTTTTACGTAGGCTCCAGAGAACAAAGACAGGTCATCAGGTTCCTGTACCTGCTAAGCCATCTTCCTGCCCCCTGAGGGTGGCATTAAGTTCCTGATCCTCCTGCCTCCACCTCCCAAGTCCTGGAGTTGCAGAAATGCTCCACCACACTTGGCTTCCATTTCTGCCCCTTAAAAACTCGGAACTAAGGTCCAGTTTCTCTGAGTGCCCTCAAAGCAGCCAATCAGAACTCCTCCCCTCTCACCTTTGCCCTCGGGTTTGAACTTCTGTGTCTTATCTCTTCGTGCCCAGTGTCTCCTGAGCAGGGAGCACAGGGTGAGTCCTTCTGTAAGACTCCAGCTGGTGCCGCACACCCCACAGCTGGAGTTTAGCTGAGAGTTGAAGGAGAATGACTGCCTACGCTGCCCAGCGGCACGCATAGGCA